AAATTTCTAATACTCTCCATCTATATGGGTAATATTTATATCATATCCACATTGGATCTAATATTTTCATATGTGTTGTCCTTGGAAAAACCTTTATCGTGATATTTGTCATTTGTCTACATGATGGAATATGGTCAATACTTATAATACCATGATCAATTTTCTTTAATGAAGTGTCGAGTCAATTTCCACATACTTTGTCTTATTATGGTGGACTAGGTTATTTGTTATGCTTATAGCAACTTTCTTGTCATACATTATCCTCATAGTATAACCGATGAAAATTTTGATTTCATCTAATATCTCTTAAGCTAGATTCATTCACAAATACCTTGAGCCATAACTCTGATTTTAGCTTTTGCACTACTCCTTGCCACCACAAGTTGTTTCTTGCTTCTCCAAGTCACCAAGTTTTCCTACACAAAGGAATAGTAGTTATAGTTGATTTTCTCGTCAAAGGGACATTCTCGCTCAATTTGAGTCAAGTATAGACTTCAATACCTATGTTTGAGTTCTTCTTGAAGTAGAACCCTCGACCCGGTGTACCTTTGAGGTATGGGAGTATTGGTCGCCTTATACCCAAGCATGTCGGCTTCTTGAAGTAAGTCCTGTGTATATTTATTTTGTGATACATAAATAACCTCCTTCATCCGAGCAACTTCCATCCCTAGAAAGTATTTAAGCCGACCCAAGTCCTTAACTTCAAATTCCTTAGCTAAAAGTCCCTTTAAATGCTTGATTTGATCATGATCATCTCTTGTGATAATGATATCATCAACATAAACAATGAAGAGGGCTACCTTCCCTTTACTGAAGTTTTGACAAACATCATGTGATCTAATTGACATTGGTTGAATCCATCTTCTTTGACAACGCGAGTCAATCTATCAAACCATGCTCTCTGGGATTGCTTAAGGTCATATAACTATTTTCTGAGCCTACACACCATGTTTGAGGTTTTTGATGATTCAAGTCTCTGAGGAATTTACATATAGACTTCTTCTTCTAGTTCACTATTTAGGAAGAGATTCTTGATGTCTAGTTGATAAAATGACCAATATAAATTTGCAGCTAAAGAGAGTATAACTCAGATTGAATTGAGTTTGGTCACCAGTGCAAACATCTTTTCGTAGTCCATTCCATATTGAATAATCCCTTTTGATGGAGAATACCACCATCTCGCATTGTATTTGATGGAAAATATATCCACTTGCATCCAATCGATTCGATCGTAAGGTGGTGATTTCTCATGTGCCCTTTTTAACTAAAGCTTGGACTTCTTCTATTACGCTTGTTGCCCATTCAGGTTGTTGGAGTACCTCATGAACATTTCTTGGGATATGTATGTTGTCAAGAGCTACCACAAATGACTTATACCCCTATGACAATTTTTCTTGATTCATGACTTTGCAGTCTACTTCCTTTCTTTCATGTGCAGTCTCGGCTGACTCTGCATTTGTTACTGTAGTTTCCTCTACTGCAGGTGCAGTCTTGGCTGATTCTGCATTTGGAGCAGGTTCTACATTTGGAGCAGAGTGAGCTAGCTCAAACCCCAAAAGTTGGGATTTTGCCACTTTAATTGGATAAATATGCTCTCCTTGAATGTCAATTTTAAGGTAATAAGGCTGATTTTCAAAAAAGGTGATATTCATGGTGTGGTAAAATTCAAATATTCTGTCAACTTCTTATTTCTTTTTCATTAGGAACGCCCAAGTGATCCTGTGTAATCGTCTATGAAGGTTACAAACTATCTTGATCCTGTGACATTGTTTACCCATGATGATTCCCATATATAATTGTGAATTAGGGACAAAGGTTGAGAGAGTTTATAGGGTTGAGACGAGTATGAGCTACGGGTATGTTTGGACAATTGACATATTTCACATTAAAACAACTCCTGATTTTTATTGAATAATGTGGGAAACATTCTTCTTAAGTATATTAAATTTGGGTGGTCAAGCCAATAGTTCCACAACATTACAGAATTTTTATTTTTAGGTACCATAGTACAAGAGTTAGCCTTGGGTTCCACCTCTGATGCTTCAGTTTGGAGGCAGTAGAGTCCAACACATTCTTTAGTGATGTCAATCGTCTCCCTCCCCCCCGTCTCCAAAATCTAAAATTCACATAGGTTAGAGAAGAATTTAGTGACACACTTCAAATCTTTTGTCAGTTTTCTAATGGACAGTAAATTACAGTCAAGTTTAGGCACATAAAAAACTAACTTCAGGTTAATAATTTGTGAGATAATAACTAAACTTTTACCCATGACTTTAAAAAGAGTCCCATCAGCTATATGAACTGTGTAATTATTGTGATAAGAAATATAACTTTTAAACACAATTAAGTCTATAGTCATGTGATCTAGGTTCCTAAATCAATGATCCATGACTTTGATTTTCCTGTGCTAGTATTTAAAACATGTAAGAAATTACCTTTTTGTGCTACTGCAGTTGTACCAATTGTTTGCTGGAGAATTTTCTATAGTGCTTCCATTTGCTCCTTGCTGAATGGAGATGGATTAAAATTTAACTCTATTGTGTTTCCTCTATTGTCTAGGTTTTTTGTCTATTTTTCCTTTGAAGTCTTGCCATGAATAATCTAGCAGGTGTCCTTAGTGTCTCCCAATTTCTTGTAGTGATCGTACCAGGGCCGATATTTCTTTTTAGATGGACGAGATTGATTCTCCCTTGCTGCCATTATTGTGGCTTCAATGGGTGGGGCTGCACTTGACTTTCCCAGCATTACTTTCCTCGTGCTTTCCTCCCTTCTCACTTCCGAAAATACTTCCAAGATTTTTTTAAGAGGTTTGGTTCCAAGGATTCTCCCTCAGACTTCATCAAGTTTTGTGTTCAGTCCTAATAGGAACTTGCAGATCCTATCTTTCTCCACCAATTCTTTACTTCTTCTTATCCTCAACACAACTCCATTAAACATCTTCATATATGTTTAGTTGCTGCTAATGTCGACTGAGTGTATTAAAATACTCAGTGACTGAGAAATCACCTTGTCGCAGTTCATGGAGTATGCTCTTGATCTCAAATACCACAGATGTATTGTCCACATTTGAGTAGGTTCCCTTCACTACAGTCCATATCTCCTTGGTAGTGCCATAGTACATGAAATTCTCCCTAATTTCATTGGTTGTGTTGAGTAACCATGACATGACCAAACTGTTTTCTAGTTGCCATTTGTTGAGGTTAGGATCACCTCTACTAGACACTTGGAGTTTCCGGTGATAACCTTCCTTCCCTTTTCCTAGAAGGAAGATTTTAACTAAATGCATCCATTAAGAGTAATTTTGCCCATTTAATTTGTGACCAATTATAGGAATAATAGGTTCTTCGACCAAACGGGTGGTCGAACCTCCTGTCTTGTTCTCTTTTATGGTTGGTTGTGCTAGGTTAGGGATGGTCCAGATCGAGTTCTGATACCATGCGAAAAATACATTTTTCTTATTTTGAAAAATATACAAAAGAGATATAAATAAAATACAAGATAATAAATCTATACACTAATCTATCCCTAAAAATTAGGAAATTATTCTCCTTATAAATATTGTATATAATTGTGCATAAATAACAAAATAAAATTAATTATATTATCATTAAATCCTATCATAATTAAATTATTCTAATTAATAGTGCTAATATCCAAAAATAATGTCTTCACCGAAGGGTGACGATAGCTTCTCGACTAGCCACACACTTGAAGGCTTACGCCCAATGTAATATTTTTTTCACAAAATTGATTATTGTAGCCAAATTGTAGGGTTACGGTGTAGCCATTCATGTAAAATGGTAAGATAGAAGGAAAAAAATTGTGGTTGTTTTTTTTTAAAGCATATAAGATTGAAAAAAAAAAATCTTGTAAAGAAGAAATACATCTATGCCTTTCCATCTCATCTCCGTATAACTATAGTTTGCTATTTATTTCAATGAATTAATATATTTTATTTTAAAAATATCTTAAATAATATTATTTGTATATATAAATTTTAAATAAAAATAGTTATTTAATATTTAAAAGAATACAAATAAGAATTAAATACAGAAAAGTAAGTTATTTGTACTTCATGCACTCCCAAACCCTTAAGCTTTTTTCGTTTTATATTACTCATCTTCTACTTTCTTATTTATATATAGACTCCTATTTGGATTATTTTTATTATATGGATTTTTTTACTTAATTTCAATGTTATTTAATTTATGAGTTAGATTCAATTTTTTCTCATAAAATTCCTCTTTTAAAATGTAAATCGTGTAAATCCAATCATATTGGTATATTATTTTGAATTCATTAATAATTATTTTATTAATGTTATTTTTGATAACGAAACATGCTTATTTTGTTAAGAAGATTTTCGATAAAAGATAACTTTTAAACTTGTGAATCATCATTTTAGTTTGATGGTATCAATCCGTGCACAAATTAATTTCATGTGTTATTGATGTTATCTCTTTTTAATAAATTAATAAATTTTCTGGAAAGATCCGAAATTTTGATGGACATTGAGAAATTTGTAATAGGTATAAAACATTAATAATTTCTAACCTTTAACGAGATAAAAGTGCTACAAAATAAAGATGAAAGAGTTAGGGAGGTATGGAGGCTCAGAGGAGCGCAAAAGAGAAAACGGTTTTTAGAACTTACAGACAAAAATTAGTGAACGGATATTTTATTTGGGTTATGGGTGTGCACGAAGAAGAAAAGAAGGAGCCAAAATTTACCATTAATCAAATTTCGGGGCCAAATCTCTCAAGTAGTTCCGTTTCTGCATTTATAAGCTTGTACGACAGTTAATCTGCAGATTTTGTTGACTTTTTTATTCATCGGATCTGGTTTTAAAATATGCGGATGACAGTTAGCACTTCCTCTGCCTTATATTATACAATGATGTGTTTCTACGAAAGTTAGTCTTCAAAAGTTGATTGACTTTGAAGTCAGCGCTTCATGTGCTGCTACAAAAGTGTTGCTAAAGAATTTTGCAGCAAGAAGAAATGGGTTTCTCTCTGTTACCAAAAGCAACTTCTTGCATTTTGTTTTTGGTTCTGCTATCTTCTACTTGCTTCACTTCAACAGGTTCACCCCATTGCTAGTGTTTTCTTTCTTCCTCGTCTATGTCTTGACATTGTAATTGGTTCCATGTTTTTTGTATGATTGAATGTGCAGTTTTCCTTAAATGCATAACCTTTTTATGGTGGTCTTCTTTAATGCTGTGTGGACCTTACGTCCAGTTGAATTTTGAAATGCATATGTATGCTTGAGAAAGATGCTACATCTGAACTTGATACAGAAAATAAGGAAACTTTTTAGCATTTATTAGCTTCTGGCGGCAATTCTTGTTGATGCCAAATATATTTAGTTGAAGTGTGTCGTTTAGCTTGATTTGCTGCTATGAATATAGATACGGAACGAAAAAAAAAATGAAGTAAAACTGTGTTCTGACTATTTTATAATATGAATAGTTGGTTTGCCATTTGAGTTTTCGTTGACTCAACTGAGAAGTAAGTTTATGATTCGGGTCTATTGCTTTCCCCTTCTGGCGTTTGAAATATGTTTCAAGTTGAAAGCTTACACGAGACATGTCCCCAAGAACTCCTGCAATTGGGAAAACTGTCCAGAGTCGGTGGTCACCAATAGGGATTTGTTTTGGCTGTAAATGAAATAATTCGTGTATAAAGCTCCTCGCAGATTTAGATCCTGTATATAAAACTTACAGTTCTTTATCATTATTAATATATGAAGTGATTATATTTAAAAAAAAAAAAAAAAAGAGGTTATTAGATACCTTGGTTGCAAAGGATGGGGTCATGAATCATTCTACCAGAATTAAATATCTAAAGATAAAGAACTATAAATTCACCCATAAAATATGTGTGCTTGCTCCTTGCTTTCCTTTTTATGACTACATAAGCAAGTATAGCAACCGTGTGTAGAGTAAATTATTGGAATATTTAGAGGTTCAACACTTACTTTGCTTACTTTCTTTTCCTTTTAATCACTTTCCACTTGATGTTGGTTGTTTATCTTGCAGATGCTTATGATCCGCTTGACCCCAATGGGAATATCACAATCAAATGGGATGTTGTATCCTGGACCCCTGATGGATATATAGTGAGTACATTCTCTAACAACATCACCCATTAATATGAGAAACAAAACATATGTTTAAATCATGCATGCTGTTGAAATGTCTCTTTTGCTTCTCTTCTTTCCACTGGTTGCTTGCATATTTGTAACTGATTTGCTGTGGCTTAATTTTTTCCCTTAGTTATTTAGAAATCTAAGAAAGAATTGTATGCACAGGCTGTTGTTACAATGAACAACTTCCAAAGATATCGTCATATTACTTCACCTGGCTGGTCACTAGAATGGACATGGGCAAAAAAGGAGATAATATGGAGCATGATGGGAGGGCAGACCACCGAACAAGGGGATTGTTCAAAATTTAAGGGAGGTATTCCACATTCTTGTAAGAAAACTCCAACAGTTGTAGATTTGCTTCCTGGAACACCTTACAATCAGCAAATTGCAAATTGTTGCAAAGGTGGGGTGCTCAGTTCATGGGTGCAGGATCCGAACAATGCAGTTGCATCATTTCAAGTTAGTGTTGGTGGAGCTGGAACCACAAACAGAACCGTCCAAGTCCCAACAAATTTCACCTTGAAAGCACCAGGGCCAGGTTATACTTGTGGACGAGCTAAGATTATCAGACCCACAATATTCATGAGTCTAGACAAAAGGAGAGTGACCCAAGCACTGAGTAAGTAATAAGATTTTTAATGTCATTTTCTCAGTTTCTAGTCAATATGATTATCTATAATTTATTGTATCCTTAACATCACTTTTATTTATTGCAGTGACATGGCAGGTGGTATGCACATACTCTCAATTTCTAGCTCAGAAATATCCCACTTGCTGCCTCTCACTTTCATCTTTCCATAATAATACTATTGTGCCTTGCCCAACATGTTCATGTGGCTGCCAAAGTAGTTCATCTCAGTCAGGGCACTGTGCAAAGTAGGTTTCCAATTTTCATCATGCAGTATTGTGATGTCCTTCTAGATACTAAGTTGTAAAATCATATTATTCCTTTCTTTGTGTGGTTGTAGGCCAGGTACACTAAATTTGGCCTCAGTTGTTTCTGGCTTTGGGAAGAACAAAGTTTCGCCTACGATTCAATGTACTAATCACATGTGTCCAATTCGAGTCCACTGGCATGTTAAGCTTGACTCCGAAAAGTATTGGCATGTGAAGGTTACTATTACTAATTTTAATTCCAGGATGAATTATTCTGACTGGAACCTAGGTATTCAACACCCGAACTTTGACCATCGGACCCAAGTGTTCGGTTTCAGCTACAAGCTAATGACTCCTTATGATTCAATAAGTAAGTGTACTGTGATGTGATAATTTTTGTTCCAAAATGCTTAAGGTACAAATTTTCTTAAATGCTGTTAAATTTTTGAGTTAATTCTTCGTCATAAAATATCAAACATGTTCACCTTGTTTTCGGAAAGTAAAAGGTAATTATCGATTCTAATAGTTGGTTTTAACAGATGATACAGCACTGTTGTGGGGAATGAAGTCCCAACATGATCATTTTCTCAACCTAGCTGGTCCTAATGGCAAGGTTCAAGGAGATATACTCTTCCGAAAGGATAAAGCAACTTTTAGCTTTGATAAGGGTTGGGCTTTTCCTCGAAGGATCTTCTTCAATGGTGACATGTGTGTGATGCCACCACCTAGTGCTTATCATTTATAGAGTATAATGAGATTGCAGAGTTCGATCTCAACTAGTGTCCTATATTGAAGACAAACGAAAATAAGGATAAGGAAAATAAACATGTTAATGAGTTTGTTGGAAATCTTTCTTTATAAATTTTATTAGGAGTCTGTTTGTGTTTTGTTGCTTTAAAAGTTAAATTATGTTTGTTTTCGGATATGATTATGTAAGCATTATAAAGTGTCTGAAGTTTAGAAAAGTTGTTTCATCTATATAGCAGAATAACTAAGCAAGAAAAATTATGAAACCCACTTTGCAATCAAGTCCTAGAATATCACTGAAAATAAGTCCTGTAGCCAATAAGAATTTCCAAAAATAACATTCCTATAAACAGGGCATAAGTATGGAACACAATAATTGAAAAATGAAAAGCATGTGGGAGACTTTAGAAAAGTGGGCACTCACTTACAATAGCTGGCAAGTGCTGTGATGTTTCGAATATTCTTACACTGTCAAACACAACATGACAAGTTGAGGACACAACAATTCTTACTTCAGACTTAGATGATATGTATGTCCAACTTATGTATTAATTTTCCAAGTGCACGAGCTTTTCGGAAGCTGTTTGTTTGGTTGGTTGGTTGGGTTTGATTGTCTCGTGCTTAGGAAAACGACAACAATGATATTGTATATAATTATATATCATTATAATCTGTTATTTTTCGGGGTTTGTCAGTGCACTCTGTTAATTGTATATCATTGTACTCTGTTTTAACGTACAAGCCAAAAATCACTACTTTTATTATATGCATGATAAAAATGTAAGAAAAACAGTGAACTTTATGAGTAACTAAATAGTTAACAAATCTATCATCTCACGCCTTTTCAGTTTTTCGTCAAACTCACTTTTCATACAATTTTTATCTTGTAACCCTTTTTAGGTAAAAGAATCTCATCGTTGTCATGTATTTCAATTCAGGGAGAAGTTTACTCTATTAACACAAAATGTTAAAAATTATGTCCCAAGATCAAAGTTTATTACTATTTCAAAACTGAAATATTGACCCAAATTCATAAAATAAAAAATAAAAATGAAAACTTTAAAAGGAATTGAAGAATTTCACAATATTTACCCTTATTTATTACTCAGGAATCTAAGTGATAGTTCTGTGTTAACAATTTCTTAAAAAAAAAAAAACATATTAATCTAATTGTGTCGGTAAGTTCTATATATAAACACAACCCCATAAAACCTAATGCATTATCACTCCTTCCACCGACACAACAACCTATTCTGGTTCTTGTACGCGTCATTTTGTCCAACCACAATATGACACGTGTACTGGATAGATTATAGTTCATAGAACATCAATTTCTTTAATTTGGGAATTATGAAAGAGCTGACCTTGAATCTACAGACTTAGTTGGTTTGATAATGATGGGGATTATCAATAGCTGTTTATATTATTAATTAATTTGCATTCGTCTACTTCTTTTTGTTCTATTATGCAATTCAAAATCATGAGGAAAACCCATTCATATGGTAGGTGCAACTAAAGTTTTATATTTTAATAATTTGGAGAACATTACAAAATTATATAAATATTAGGTTTGGCATAAAAAATAATGCTAAATAGTAAAACGTGTTTGACAAAATCAAAATTGTTACCTTTTGTGAAGCACTTATTAAACAATAATAGTCATATAATTTTGTTATTAAATAAGTTATTATTGGATAAAATGTGAGAATATTTTGCATCGCTTATACACAGATAAAACCAATTTATTCATCGCTCATATCACACTTAGCAAAACATAAGAAAAAACTAGATAAAGTTTTGACTTCCTTTGTTATCCGATGCTCGTAATTCGTAATATTATTCTATTGTCTTTTAATACAAAGAGTTTTTATATGGATATATTAATTGAGTATTAATCTTATTAGATAATTAAATTGTGTTTAAATTAATTTTTAAATGTTTTTTTATTTTTATAAAATGATTTTTTTAATACTTTTTGTCTTATATTCATGAAACTCGATGTTATATCCCAGATATATACATATCACTGTCTTACTTATTATATTTGTAGTTTTTATTTGTTTTTAAAACAAATATGCAGTTTTAATTTGGAAAATATTTTTTAAATTAATTTCAAAATAAAACTAATTTAGATTTTAAATAAAAAATTAACATAAAAAATAAAATTAATTGAGTTGAGATATTAAAATAAAACCTGACTTTATATATTAAAATATTAATATTCAAATTTATAATGTATATATTAATCATGATTATAAAAATATAATATATGTAATGATTAAACCCTAAAAATACACATTATTAATAAAGGACAGACTCCATGAAAGCTACTTGGTGATGTCATCCTACAATTGAGTAATGAGTATGAATTTTCTCTTCTAAAACTATATTGATTTTCACTACCTCGATAATATTTGAATTTAAGTATGCATTGGAATCTAAAATTTTATGTAAAAAAGAAAGCGTAAAAAAAATCATAGATTTATAGCTTTAAAATTTTATAGATTAAAAATGATATTGATATAATTGAATTCTCATATATTGACTCATTTTTTTAATAAATAACACCATAACATTAAGAAGGTTCTCCAAGTTTTTAAAACTAATTCACGTTTTCCACTTGAAAGCGTGAATGTGATGAGATTCATTCATGGCGAAATGCAAGGTGGGCAAAAAAGTCAAAAGCGATAAACCACATGACAAGTTATATATATTGGCTTCACATATGCCATGCCACATTATTATATGTTACAGACTATGTTATAATTTTTTTGCATTATATTTTTACCCCTTCACTTCAAAGGAATAATTCACATAATTTTTAATAATTTTTTTTAAATAAAAATGAATTTTATTTTGATACAATGTTTCTAATACTTTGTATCATAAAAAAATATATTAAAAAATTGCATATTTAAGTGAAACTCACTGTTAAATCAATAAAAAAATCATTAAAAATTATAATTTGATAACGAATTTCAGTTAATACCATATAGTAAATAAAATATAATAAACATTTCTTTAAATTATAAATTTATAAAAACTTTTAAATATAATTTAAAGGTAATTATTGTAAAAACAATACATTATTACACTATTATATATTCTTAATTTTTTTTTTATTATCTACATCCTATGTAATTGGATTGTCTCATCATACCCTAATCATATGCCACTGTCACTTACTTTTGCAGAGTATTAAAGACTTCTTTGATCCTTCTCTTGTGGGGAAAACCAAAACGCATTTTGTTTCACAGTACAAGGTTTAATTTTTTGTAAAAGATGAATGAGTTTATGATGATCACATTTTGCAAGGGAAACACAATTATTTATGTATAAAAAGCAATAGTTATACCTTATTTTAGAACACCGTCTATAATGAGTTTAGGTACGTTCATCTTATTTTATCGGATAAGAAATTGCATATATACCTTTCTTAAACCGATGATGAGCCAACTGGGACAAACTAAATAGTCAGTTTCTGCCGCTTATTTTTTCCACTCTCTCTCTTTCTTTTCTTCACTCACTCTCTCTTTCTCTCTCTCTTCTTCTTTTTTTTCTTTATTTCTAGTTTTCTCTGTCACAGATCTTGAACTGTTCTGGCAAGAACTCAGACCAGTTACCATCTTGCAGCATCCAAAATGGGCTTCTCTCTGTTACCAAAAGCAACTCCTTGCATTTTGTTCTTGGTTCTTCTGTCCTGTACTTGCTTCACTTCAACAGGTTCACCCCCCATTACTGTTTTCTTTTTTCCTTGTCTGTGTCTTGGAATTTTCATTTGTTCTGTGACTTTGTTTGATGGGTTGTTCAGTTTTCATTAGATGTTTAATGTTTTCCATTTTCTGGTGGTCTTCATTTTATGCTGCGTGGACCTTACGCCCTGTTGGTTTTTGAAATGAAGACTTGTGAGTTGTGAAAGATGCTGTCTTTGTCCTTTGAATATGATAAAGAAAGTGGGTTTTGTCCTAATGTTGAAAATTTTAATAATTTATTAGCTTCTAGCGGCTAATCTTGTTGGTGCCAATTGTTTTATGTAGAAAATATGCCGTTTAGTTTGTTTTGTTGTTGAAGAAATTTAGATTTTTAACAGGGAAATTGATGAAAATTGTGTTCTGAATATCTTTTAATAAGATTTGATTTGGCATTTGAGTTTTCGTTGAGTCAAGTGAGAAGTAAGTTCATGGTTTGCCTTTTATTTCTCTCCCTTTTGCCGTTTGTAATGGTTTTAAGTTGAAATTATGATTGCTTCCACGAGTTTTGTGTCTAAGAACTCCTGTAATTGGGAATACTGTGCATGAGTAGCTGAGTAGGCAGGCACCGATGCTTATCATTTTTGTTTGTATATGGAATAATCTATGTACAAAGGTCCCTGCATATTTTAGATCCCAGATATCCTCCAATTTCAATGATGGAGTTATGAATCATAAATGCTAAAATATGTAGAGATAAAAAACTATAACTTCACCAGCAGTTGACTCAAACAAATATCTTTGCTTATTTACTCTCTTTTTTTGTGACTACTTGAGCAAGTCTGGCATTTGTGTGCCTCATCATTTCTATTGTGTGTACTGTATTATATTTAGAGATTCACCATTTACTTTGTTTTCTTTCCTTTCCTTTTGATTACTTTCCTTTTGCTGTTGGCTGTTTATCTTTCAGATGCTTATGACCCGCTTGACCCAATTGGGAATATCACAATCAAATGGGATATTATAAGTTGGACCCCTGATGGATATGTAGTAAGTATACTCTTTTACAATGTCAACCAGTAATATGAGAAGCAAACCTGCTGTTGTACATTATGCATGGATTTGAAATTATTTTTGCTCCTTTTCTTTCCACTGGTGGCTCTCCATCTTTTGCGATGGATCTGCATGTTCATGTTAGCTGCATCTCATGTAATATATAAATTATTGGATAATACAGCAAAATCATTTTACTTCAACTAGAAATATGACATGGTTTGGATTTTGTATCACAATAGCGAGCCGTGTTACAACTATTTTCTAAGTGTGTTTATAGAATGAGGTTGAAACTCAAGTATACAGATGAATTTATTTAAATTATTGAGTCTAGATATTTAGAGTGACTTTAGCTTATTTTTGTTCCATTAGTTATTTAGATATCTAAGATACAATTGAATGTACAGGCTGTTGTTACAATGAACAACTTCCAACAATATCGTCATATTGCTTCACCTGGGTGGTCACTAGGATGGACCTGGGCAAAAAAGGAAGTAATATGGAGCATGATGGGGGGGCAGACCACTGAACAAGGAGATTGTTCAAAATTTAAGGGAGGTGTTCCACATTGCTGTAAGAAAGATCCGACAGTTGTAGATTTGCTTCCTGGAACACCTTACAATCAACAAATTGCAAATTGCTGCAAAGGTGGGGTTCTCAGTTCATTTGCGCAGGACCCGACCAATGCAGTTGCATCATTTCAAGTTAGTGTTGGTAGAGCTGGAACCACGAACAAAACTGTCAAAGTCCCAAAAAACTTCACCTTGAAAGCACCAGGACCAGGTTATACTTGTGGTCCAGCCAAGATTGTGAAACCCACTCAATTCATACAAGCAGACAAAAGGAGAGTGACCCAAGCACTGAGTAAGTTATGGGACTTTTAATGTCATTTTCACTGTTGTCAATATGATTATATATTTTTCTGCTGCCTCCTTCCAACCTCATAACCTTCCTCAACAAAGTGTCACCACTAGTTGTAGGTTTCGTTCGTGACAAAATCTGAGACTCGTGTTGATAATTCTATGCTTAAATTTAAAACTAATCAAAGCTTACAGTTGTTATAAGTAAATAAATCATTAACATCACTCTTGTTCATTGCAGTGACATGGAATGTGACATGCACATACTCACAATTCCTAGCTCAGAAAACTCCCTCTTGCTGTGTCTCACTTTCATCTTTCTATAATGATACTATTGTTCCGTGCCCAACATGTGCATGTGGTTGCAAGAGTAACTCATCTCAGTCAGGGAGCTGTGTGGAGTAAGTTTCCTCCACTGAATGAATTGTCATCTCCTTCTAGCCACTAACATGTGCACTCATATATTTCCTTTCTCTGTGGTTATAGTCCAGGTGCCTCACATTTGGCATCGGTTGTATCTGGCTCTGGGAAGAATAATTTGTCACCTTTGGTTCAATGTACTAGTCATATGTGCCCAGTCCGAATCCACTGGCATGTTAAGCTAAACTACAAGGAGTACTGGCGTGTAAAGGTTACTATTACTAATTTTAACTACAGGATGAACTATTCTGAGTGGAACTTGGTTGTTCAACATCCAAACTTTGACAATTTGACTCAACTGTTCAGTTTCAACTACAAGTCATTGACCCCTTACGGTTCAATAAGTAAGTGTGGCAACTCGTGTTTTAAATTTTTGAAGTTCTGTGAATTTTATTTCTTAATTCTTCGTAATAAAACATCAAACTTTCACTCCTTATTTTCATAAACTAGAAGGCAAGTACTGATTTTTAGTTACCTTTTACAGATGATACAGCAATGCTATGGGGAGTTAAGTTCTATAACGATTTTCTCAACCAAGCGGGCCCTAATGGCAATGTTCAATCCGAGCTACTCTTCCGAAAGGATAAATCAACTTTTACTTTTGATAAGGGATGGGCTTTTCCTCGAAGGATCTACTTCAATGGTGACAACTGTGTCATGCCACCACCTGATGCTTATCCATGGCTACCTAGTGCTGGTTCCCGGCAAGAGGTTTCCTTGCTTGCTTTAGTGGTATCTTCTTTGGTAGCCTTGGTATTTTATGCCCACGCTTAAAGTTCCAATCTGTGGTAAACCTACCCTTGTAATAGAAAATTTTCAGTCAGACCAGTTTTGACTCATTTGTGATGTCAATTTGTCATTTGAAGCATGAGGGAGGAATGAGGATGACAGCCAGTGGCAAATCAAGATTAGCTTCACGTGTCCTATGGTTTGTTACCGAGGGTTCAGCCCGTTGGTGGTAGAATTTGCTTTTGTTTTTGTGTTTGTTGTAGTTGAATGATGTATGTATGGTTATTATGATTGTAACTGTAATTATAATAAATATACACACCAACATGTCACATGAAAATATAGACTTGATAAATCATATGCGAGTTTGAAATGATTGTGGTCTTTTTACTTACTGTTTCCTTCATGGAACATACTCAAAAAGGTCTAAAGAGAACCTGAATAAAGGAAGGAGAGATATCCAATATCCATTACAGCATTGCAATATAAGGCATTTACATGATTCAGACAAAACCATTGCATGGAATTATATTCGCTATTCAGCACCCGATCAAACCTCATGAACCAGCACACAAATTCATGAGTATAGGTTCGTGTTTTCAAACAATTCCTTACGAAATCTTCATACCTGATGAACGTTATGTGAGTGTAGGAAAACTTGCCTTCAAAATTTCACAGAAAACAATTGTATCTCGCCTATGTACTAGTTCACCAAACAGCTAGCATGACAAGCATTGTGAAAATGAATGCTGGGAAGTTCAATAGGTTCACAGGGGCAGAGTTAGGGAGGATCGGGTAGGTGTCTGGCGGTGGCAGCATGCATTCTTCACCGTTAAAGTAGACCTTGCGAGGAAATGCCCACCCCTGCTTGAGTGTGAATGTATCCTTATCTTTCTGAAGAAGAATTTCTGATTGAACATTCCCAGTTGGCCCAGCTTCCATCAAGAGATCGTTGAAGTATTTCATACCATAGAACATGCCGGTGTCATCTGCATACAAAATGATAATACACTTTAGAACTTATTCTTAAAGGTTATTAATTGACTTATAAAACACACTAAAATAGATTTATATGTTGGCACCCACTTATGGACTCGTAGGGAAGTAAAGGCTTGTAATCAAAGCTGAAAACTTGTGTGACGTTGTTAAGATTTGGATGCTGAACAGCAAGAGTCCAGAGGGAGTAATTCATTCTATAGTTGAAATTTGTTACGGCAACCTTGACTCGCCAGTAGTCCTTATAGTTGAGCTTCACGTGCCAGTGTACCCTAATTGGGCACATATGATGTGTGCACTGTAGCAATGGTTCATTGTCTTTCTTTGGAGTGTGGATCCCCAGCATGTTGATACGTTTAGAATCACTCCTGCATACCATTCCAACATGTAAGAGAATGATTCTAGTTTTTACAGATGAAGAGGTCATCAATTGTTTGAAAATCAGACTTTACTTGACACAGTTCCTCTTGTTCTGGCAGCCACAGGCACAAGAGGGACAAGGGGTAATGGTCTCATTGTAAAAGGATGACAAAGATACACAGCAACCTGGGTTCTTTCTTGCCAGAAATTGTGAGTATGTGCAAGTAACATTCCATGTCACTGCATGATATAAAACAAAAGAAACTAAAGGAATATTTGAATGGAAGTTGGACAGGAAATTGATGTCACAAAAGTTAAAGAACTAACTTAGTGCTTGAGTCTTGCGGCGCTTGTCAGGTGTAAGGAAAACAGTGGAAGGAACAACCTTGGCAGGACCACAAGTGTAGCCTGGTCCTGGACCCAAGAGGGTGAAGTTCTTGGGAAGTTTAACTGTCTTGTTTGAAGTACCAGCTAGCCCAACACTAACTTGGAAGGATGAAACTGCTGCTGAAGGGTCTTGGCCCCATGCTGCCACCACTCCACCCTTACAGCAGTTTGAGAATTGTTGGTTGTAAGGTACACCAGGGAGCAAGTCTACAACTGTGGGAGTTTTCTTGCAGCAGTGAGGTACATTGCCTTTGAACTTAGAGCAGTCTCCTTGCTCTGTGGTTTGAGCCCCTACCATGGACCATATTACTTCCTTCTTTGCCCATGTCCACGACAAGGTCCATCCCGGATTCATGATGTGCCGAAACATTTGGAAATTGCTCATTGTTACCACTGCCTGGTTAAAAATGAATGAGAAGTTACTTTTCAGTTTAGTTACATCCATTTTACTCACTGTGAAATAATGGCAAAATTGACTTTGGTTAAAGTTGGTGTTGAAGTGATGTGATTTTAAGTTTGAATATTGTTATTATAAAGCAAGTTACCAATAAAACTCTGTAAAAATATAATCTATTGAAAAACTACCTGAAGTTCCTTCAACTTAGAACAATTCTAGACTTCAATTCGTCAATATCAAATCGAATACATGAAAAATTTACTTAAGATCATGTTGATTGGGATTTCAACGTGATTAAGGAAAATCCAACGTGAATCCAAATACAGAGTATTTTGAACAAATAACAATCCAGTTTGTATTACTTACTACATAGCCATCTGGTGTCCAAGACACAACATCCCATTTGATCGTTACGTTTCCATTTGGATCCAAAGGATCATACGCAGCTAAAATCAGAAACATCAGTAAATCAGTTGAGTGTGTATGGAATGTAAGTGAAAGTGAAGCAAATTCAGTAGAGAGGGTAACTTGTTATCTCACCTGCATAAGAGAATAGAACAAGAACACATACAGCGGATATGACAAGCCTCATTCTGTGATGTTATCACTATGATAAGTGGTGCTGAGAGTTAAGATTGGAGTTTCCTCAGCTGAATGCATGGAAATTGGATGTGTAGTATTGTAGAAAAAGAACCCTGAAGGGAATTGTTTTGGGGTTCTAAGTGATGGCTCACCTAATGGTTGTTGGTTACCTTAACATTTATATTTCTATCATTGTCTCAGCCGTGAGATTTCCTTTCGAACTTCCCATTTCTTAAAGCAACGGCCACTGACTAGAATAGGTGCAGATATAAGAGTGAACATTACACGTCAAACGTTATATTTGAAGGGGCATTTGTTCTCTGATGGCTTAGGCTCACCATACCATGAACTTACCTGTATAACCCTTTTTCCCTGCAGATCAATTCTTGCAGAAGAGTGTATAACACAAATAAAGGAAAATTAATAAATCATCAATTTAGTCCTAAATGAAACTATATAAATATTAGTATTGTATGCTAATCAGAGATTAAATTGATGAATGCTCAATTTAAGAACTACTTGTATAATTTTATCAATTTAAAGACTACTCAGGAAAGAACATAATATTTCAAAACCAAATTGGTGATTTATTGAAAAAACATTATAGGTTTGTCCAAGCCTATGGTAATTCATATAACTACCCTCAAAAGGGGACATTTTCTTCATTTCCTTTTTACCCTTTTTTTAAAGTTTAATCCAGTCCAAGATATTTCTATTTAAGCATTCAATACGTCCAAATGAGTATGATAGAAGTATCTGTGTGAATAACTTTCTTTTGTATCTCTGGGAACTTTCCCATTTCTTTGAACATTTTTAGCAAGAATGATATGTAGAAACACAAGGGTTGAACAAGTGAAGGGTAAGATGAAATGAAAACGTGGTACTATGATCCTCTTCTGTCCACAACCTGATCATAGTATTAGGTAACACATGTCACTTCTGTAGACCCTGCCAACTAATTTTGTGAAGTACTCTTTATGGTCTTGCTTTTGACATCATGTTAAATCAGAGACATGAGTTTGAAGCAAGCAAGCTAAGTAGGGACTAGGTAGTGAGTTCCTTTCTAGTCAAAAGGACACTCTAGCTGCTGCATGCATCTTCACAAAACCCTGATCGCTTCAACCCTAGAACAGCAAAATTCATCAGTTAGATGCTGATTTGTACTCTTTTTCCCCTTACAACTTGTTCATGAAGCTTTTGATAATCAGCCCCATATTAGTACAATTTAATACGAATCTTGCAATGAAAACCGACAGGGTCGCTAGCAACGTTACTCAAACCTATACTTGCAATGTATTATAAAACTTAGGAATGAATATAAAAATTGCTTATTTGAAGGTTTATTTCATACTCAATTTATAAATAGCAAAAAATTTCTCTATCAACATCTATATCAATCTATATTTTTCTTAACTTTATCTCAAATGACTTATTTATGTTATTTAGAGGAAGAGTTTTTTCTATTATAATGACCATATGCAATTCGCATAAAATTGTTTCCACGCACAGTACACTATATCTAAATTAAAAAAAAAAAAACCTTTTTATATATCTATTTCTAAATTAAATTTAAATATTTTTAATAAATTTGTAATAGTTGAAAATAAACTAATGTCATATTTAAATTATTCACACTAAATTTAAAATATTTATTTGTTATGATTTTAATATAGTATACTTTATATATTAAAATTTATATTATACAATCAAGTTTGACTCTTGTCAGGTTTTTCTTTGTTGTGTATAGCAAACTTGTAAAGAAATCATCTGAAAGGTATTTCTTAAGTTTGTTCGAGAATATATGTTGTTTCTTTCTTATTTTATCATATATTTGGTATGAAATATCTATCAACACTAATCTTCTATGAAGAATTTGATCAAACCATCTATAATGAGATCTCTCTCATCTAATTTTGTTTATTAAAAAATTAAAATCCAAGACTTCATTTTGAAGAAACCAAATCTCGTAGATCTCATGCCAGAGACTTGTTGCCACCAATATAATTCAATTAATTAGTGTAAGAAAAAATTAACCATACTGTAAATGGTACAAATAAAAAAGTTCACCATATGCTAACTTATTCACCTATCATGTATCTTATTACAAGTTAAAATTTATTAAAATTACAAAATGAAGATTGTAATTTTGTTGTAATCATTTTTCAGTACTTCTTTGCATCTTTTTCATCTTATGCATTTGCAGAGTTGCTACTGTCTTTTTGCTTGTTTCCAGCTTCTGTGGGCATGCAGAAGGAACATCAAGTTCAACCTATTATATGTAACACACCCAAAAGAATTTCATGTGGTGAGTGGATGGATGTTTCTCTTCTTTCCATGCTCATGTGCACTGCAACTGATATATGGCAGTGCTCTGTGGAGGACACGAGGAGGTCCAGTATTCAAAGTAATTTTAAACCTTTGAATCAGTCAAGAAACTTACTCATAAAAATCACTGTTTTATATTATCTGTTAAATCAATATAGCTTCAAATTCATCTCAGCTATCAGAATCCTTTGGATTGATACTTTTGTATGATTTAATTCATAATAAATCGAAAAGGATCGTTAATGGGCTTGGGCATTTAGCATCGCTGGTGTTTGTTCTGTTCTGTATATTTCACTAGGCCCAATTTCGTGAACCTTATATCTTCACATACCTTTTTTCATTTTTGAATGGGTATTTGGAAGGTAATATGCATAGACCTTATCAATCACACGATGAAAGAAACCTTTTTTGAGCAGTGTTGAATATTATCGGTCTTCAAAAACATAGTTGAGAACTAAACAGAAACTTTATTTTTATCCGTAGGGTATACATCAATATTCAGCATACATATAATATAAACAAGTTACACACACATGAGAGAACTTGTTTTATTTGAAGTGGTGGATAATGCATGCATCATAGGCTCTTATTTAACGTAGAAGATGCAATATGATCGACTTGTGAGTGATGAGCATACCATTTCATTTGCCATTTGCTTGAGACAAAGCCAAAAAACTTTTCAGTGCTTGAGAGTCAGAGTGGAAGCACCACCCATAATGCACATGCTGGCTAGGATAAAGAGCGCAGAAGTTGCCACTTCCTTTCTTTACACAATCATGGTGAGACAGACATAGGTTCGGATGTTCATCAATCGTCTTTTCAAAGGATTCAACTCCATCTCCGCAGGCACCAAATGCAGAAAATATAAATGCAGGAATACATGTGCACGAGGCCGAGTTACATGGTGTAGCATCAGTGACTCTACAAGGACCAATACAAGACACTGACTCTACGCTCTTCATTGATAACATTGAAAATGATATGCAAAATTAACAACAAAAGCACATGTATATATCAGAATATGTTAGAATTTATGATAGTTCTACAATATGCAATGATGAAAACAAAATGAATGGAAAAGTGCATACAGGAAGTAGCAAGGAAGAAGAGAGCCAAACGAGCAAGCTTAACAAAATTCATTCTTGTGATTTTATTTTGATTTGAATTTTGTTGTGTGTTGATTACTTGTTGCATGTACCAATTTATAGGCATCTATACCTAAGTTTTTTTTTTTTTTAATATTTTACTAAAAAATTACACTAACTAACACGTTTTAGAGTCTATTAAATCAAACTCTACTAAATATTTTTTAAAAAATCACTCGTAAAAATTTATGTTTAAATTAGTATAAAATATATATATATATATATATATATATATATATATATATATATATATATATATATATATATAGAGAGAGAGAGAGAGAGAGAGAGAGAGAGAGAGAGAGAGAGGGGGGGGGGGAGAGATAAATAAAAATAAGATAATTTGTAAAAAGTAAATTTGATCTATTTATTGGTGTCATAAGTTATATTATTTTAGTGTTAACAATTAACTTATTTAAATAAAATATAATGTATAATTAAGTAAAATCAAGTAGATTAATTATGTTACTTTAATATGCATTTAATGAAATTTTCTTTGTGACGCTTCTATCATAATCTAGAATATTGAAAACTATATCACAGTTTAGAAAGAATGCACTTGTTGTATATATTTAGAATAGGGTGATCATATATAATAGGTTCACGGTTGGGCTTGAAATATAATTAATTTACAATATTGAGAGGAAGAATAAAAATTTGAGAAAGTAGTTAGGTTAGTACATTTTAGTTAGGGTGTTAGTCTAGACAGACATATAATAAAGACCTATCCAGTCTTTTATGCAGAATTTATTTATTTTTGTTTTGGGTTCATACTTATGTATTGAGATTTGTATGATTTAATTGATAATAAATCGAAATGGATCGTCAATGGGCTTCGGCATTTAGCATCACATGTGTTTGTTCTGTATATTTCACTAGGCCCAAATATCTTCACATACCTCTTTTCATTTTGAAGGCTTTTGGAATGTAAAATTTACACTCTGTATGAGCAAAGATTTTTATAGGGTGTAAAAAAATACCCAAGTTAAGTACTTTATAAGTTATGAACAAAAAAAAAGTTATTGAAATTGATAGTTTTAACACCTTGATGCTGATTCTCTTACAACCAGAGTCAAGATGTCATTAGCATGTTGTTAATTTACATTATTTGCTTTTCAAGTCATATTAAGGCAAATGATAAAATAGCTTAGCTTCTGAAATATAATCTCTATTTAGGTTCATGTAGTGGTCCAAATAACAACTGCAAACTACAATTTCTGCAAACGTCACACTTTTCCAACAGAGACAAACAAAAATGCTTCATGAATTTAGCAGATAGTTAGTACAAAAACATGGCCACCAAAATGTCCCTGCAGCAATAATTTCCATGGCTAACTGAATAATGGAGTTTAGTTGGAAAGTAGTAAGTACAAAATTTTAGAAACTTACAGAGTTGTATCCACCCAATTAAACCAAAATAAAAGAACAGCTATGCAGGTTCAGTGACAACTTTCGAATAATAAAAACCAATGTCTAGAAGCTTCTAAATTTGGTTGTCATTTTCACAACATGACAGATACTTCAGCATTTCCTTCTATCCACTCATGTTGTGTGGAGATATTATGTATTAATGGGATTTTAACTTTTGATGTGAATATAGCTTGAAATTTGTAATTGTATAAATCATTCATTCTCTTTTTCTTTAGTTTTTGCATGTAACATACAAGAATATTATAATAGGTTACAAATTGTGTTCCACCAGATATGAATTTTAAATTGATTGACATTTTGCAGATTGCTGTTGCGTGTGTAAGGGACTTCTAGGTTCAAGTTTTCGTTCAGATCTTCTTACTAATTGTAAGTTTCCATTCAATTGAATTTCATTATTTTTCATCCATTTGGAAAGAGACTTTATATTTATATAAAGTGGCAGACTCAGCCCGTAATAGATTTTGTTGTTTTTCATTTCCAAATTAGTATATGATGATAGGATAATGTTCAAGTGGCAGGTAAAGTACCAAAGAAAAATCCAAAGTTCTGATCACATCAGTTAAAAATTGATCACTATGGATCTATATGCTGTATTAAACAAGACATACATCAATAAACATCCTATTATTTCACATGTAACGAAATGGTGCCATTTGATCTCTACCCATCAAACAATAATCAGAAGAAAACAACGCCCTATAACATGTGCTTATTATTTCTAAGCTCAAATCAAGAAGTTACTAACAGAATTACAGCTAATAGTGCTGCAAACTTTAAGCGGAGAATAACAGCTAAGTTGAAAATAGATACTAGGAAAACATAATACAGTATATAATTAATTTCAGTTGAAAGTTGTGTGGCTGTTATGCAGTTGAGCAAAACTGATTCATGCTTTGCCATTGGGCAGTGATGCTCCAGCTGGGTTAAGCTCATCCCAAGCTTCAATCCAAGTGACCATGGCGTCTGCCAACTTGTCAAAGTAAGGATCTATTTTGGAAAGCTTTTCCTTGACTTGCTTGGCAAGCACAATGTAGCACTTCTGAACAGTGGTAGCTTCTTTTGGCAGAACAAGGGTCTGGAAGAATGGGATAATGTCTTCTTGCCAGAATATGCCTTTGTACTCTTTCCTCAGGTTTACAAATGGGTTGCTGGCCTTGCTGTGATAGATATAGGGCAGACCAGTCTTGATTCCCAATCCCAAGTGATCACAGATTACCTAAACAATCATCATTAAAATATCTCAGTGGTTTTCATGCAATACAACTATTAATTGATTGCAAAGATTTGGTAAAAGAAAAGCCAGGAATAGACCTTGCAGCACCAGCCAGCCCACATGTCGTCGTAGCGTCCAATAGGCTGACCATCACCCATGAGACCAAAGTACATTGCTGGTCCTATGAGGTCGCGATCAAAGGCCAAGTTCATTCCACACATGGGAAACAAAGTGCCCTTTGGTATGGTCATAATGGCATCCACATACCTGATAAGAATCACAACATTCACAACCGATCTCATTTACATGTTAACATTTTTGAATTTTTTAGCAGGTTATAAGAGTAGAAGTAGTACCTAGTGTTTCTCTCAAGAGGCTTCACAAGCTGAGTAGGAGCATCATAGTCTGGGATGTTGAGCCAAAGACCATGAGAAACTGCTGTTGGCACACCTTCCCGGAGACTGAAGGGGTAACCGCGAACAAAATCTGCACCTTCTCGGAAAGGTTCATAGAGAGTGTTGAAAAAGAAAGGTGTAGATGGGCAGAGAAGGTTTTTTATATGCTGCTCAAGTGCATTAATCTTGTGTCCAGATGGATTGGTGGCAACCTAAGTCACAGCAAAAAACAAATTCTAAAATTTCAGATGGAAGAGTTAAAAAATATTCACTGATGAATTCTAAAAATGTATTAGTATATATGGCTAACAAAATATATAAATATATAAAACAAATGTCAACATCAACACGTATAGCTGGAAGACACCTCAAAATTCCATCACTTGCACATGATTCAATCTATATTATGTTATTATTCTCCAAATGCAGACACTAAAGCTAGCGAATAATTTCAAATTTCACTCCAACATTGGCTAAGGAGAGTGAAATGGACGACAAACCAAGTTTATATCATGAACTAACATCCTTAATGCAGGCAATTCTTCCAATGACAATTCAAATCTCAGCTCATCACATTGACAGTCGACGTGGTCACCTCTCTTCCCAATGACAATTCACATGCCATCACACCACATTGTCAAAGACTAACCCTCTGCATTAGACCCAACTCCATGGATTCAAAAACCACTGGTTACATTGTAACAAACCGACATTCTGTTTCGAACAGATCATAAAGCCAAAAAGAATATCCGACCCATGCAATGGCCAGAAATAGCAGAAGCAGCACCATCAGTTACAGTCACAAACAACAGCACTGAAAATCAGTATAACAATAACAAGATCCAAATTTTACACGACTAAGGAGCAGATCAACCTTGCAAAGCAAACATTGTCAAGATCTAGCCAAAACCAAAGAGATCATAACTAAGGGGTGATGAGATTGGGGAAAAAAAGAAAACTCACAAAGCAGTCATCATCAATGGTGTAGATGTACTTCTTCTTTGACACCATGTAGCCAAAGCAACGGCATGCAGAGTCCTTGAAGGAGATGCAACTGGCCTTGGGACCAAGAATCCTGTTGATGTCATTGCGGTTGTAGAGCTCGTAGTCAAAGCCTTCAGGAACCTTTATGGTCTTTGAAGGGTCACCATCTTGCACAATTATGAGATGGTAAGGCTGAAAGAATGGCCTCCACATCTCCAAGAAATCGAGGTTCCGGATTGTGGGGATCACGATGTCGAGTTCATCTTTCAAAAGGGGTGTTGGTGCTGCCATGGCACAGGATTGGAAACTGAACACAAGGTGGTGTGACTTGTGTGAGTTTTTCACAAACACTGCTGCGTGTTTGAAGATGCAGAGGAACGAGAGAGTTTGTGAAGAACTATAATATAAACGAGAGGCACGTGCGAGTCCGCTGTTTTCGGCACGAGTTAGGGAGCTTTCACAGAGACGTGTCTGAATGTTTAAGGCAAAAAGACTCCTTCAACTTCAATCGTTGTAGGTTTGTGATTGCCGTACAATGAGGTTCAAACTCAACATGTATCAGAAAATACATATTATGTAACTCATAACAATTATTTTGTTTTGTTTTATAAGTTGGGGTTAATGCAAATTGATTGGGTGAGATTGTGATAATCCACGTTATATGATTTACTTTATTTGAAATAAAAAATCGTCTTTTGACCTGATTATGATTATTGTATGATAAGAAGAACACATTTCATTCAAAATCTTAGGATCCATAAAAAAATATTCGGAAAAGTATATATATGTAACCGAGTTGGACAATTTCTTATGTATTATGTCATTATCAATAACATATAAATATAATAATAAAAAAAAAAACTATATTCGCACCGTAATCCTTTATCCTTTTAATCACATTAGCTTGTGAATTTTGGAAATAATTTAAGAAAAAATTGAAAAGTTTAATTTATTTTTAGTATCAGCATCTCTTATTTGTATGCAGCCCAAAAAATCTCTGATTTTGTTATATTTTTTTAGTTATCTTTATCCTCTTTTAAAGACAATATCTGATTATGCCAATTATATTTTACCAATAAAGCAAATTATTTGCAAGAAATTGGAATATGTTCTTACCAAAACAAAATAATTTCATCAGAAAAGAAATTGGAATATATGATTCTCCTTATATTTCAAACTTATTTTGGATTGAGTTATTGAGATGTGTTTTAAAATAAATCACCACATTCAGTGCCAATAGAAGGCATTTATAAATCCAAAGCTTTAAGATAAATTATATTTAAAACATGATTTCCTATATTAAAATACAATTTGTTGTTAATTTTGATTTTTTTGTAATTATCACAAGGATACATTATTATGATTTTAATTATAGGTGGCTTCATGTTAAAGAAGATTCAACGTGTAAACAGAATTAGTGTTAAATAAAATTAAAAAATATATGCGTTGCTCAATTCAATTATTGTTCAACTTTTTGTACAATTTAATGGAATTTTCTATGAAGAAAAAGTCCTCAATAGTCCAACACTCATCTTTGGCTCTTTCTTTCAATGACTGAAATAAGTATTTAGGTACAATTAACTCCAAAGAGATTTTACGTCATTTTCACGAGCTTCGTCAAAACATTAAAAAAGACGTGTTTTTTTCTTATCAAATGTGTGAAGTTTAAAAAGGAACGATATTTTTATAGTATCTAAGATAAAGGGGAAAAGAAAAAGCAATGTCTTTTAATGTATCAAAAAAGTGTCATTTTCTAACTTGGGAAGAATCTTATGGTGATGGCTTGGTCAAATTGGTAGTTACAAAAAGACCCAAAATTTGGACACCTTTGAAAGTGATTTGTCTCAAAAACTCTTTTAGCTTGGTTCACATTTTCTCTTTCTTTTCCATTCAATTTGCACTACTACTAGTCAAAATTGTTTGTGATGATTTTGCCTTCCCCATTCTCACGCCACAAGACTATTCTCAACTCCAATTCTTCTTCCTTTTACCCTCATAATTTTTTTTTAAAAAGTAATTTTATTCGAATTCAAGCCAAAAAAAATCAAAATGTAATCACACGAGTGAATTTTTTTCTTGTTAGAAAAAAAAAAGAAAAAATTTATTTTGAGATCACCGAATTTTTTTATTGAAAATAATTCAGTCCAATACATATACCATTTGTCTAACTTCAATAATAATAAAAGAAAAACTTCACCATTTATTTACAATATTCATACTTCTATATTAATCCACTCTAACTATATATTGTTTGCTATCAACAATAAACTAAGAATTTAAATTTGAAATTAAGAATTTTGAACTAGTTGATTAACGTGTTTAACGATTGTAATAAAGTAATTTTATGAGATATATATTTTTTTCTTATTCTTATACCATAACTTATGGGTTAATTTTTTGCGTTGTGTCTTCTTTTGCGGAGAGAATAGCGGAAAAGGGAATTGGGATGCGTATGCATGTAATTAGGAAGTTACACGTTCATTCATAAATCTCACGTCACCTTTTCTTCGTTGCTTTCATTTGTGGAAAAGTTGTGTACTTTTAAAACATGATTTGAATTTTAAAATACATTTAATAAAAAAAAATGTCTTGAGAAGCATCTTATAAAGGGAGAGGTAAAACAAATAGAGTGGTTTTCGCAAATACTCAAAAGTAAATTGGTAAATGAAAGATAAAAAGAGGTAAACCGTGTGAAGAATGGTGATGGGAATATGGAGTTTTTGAAGTTAGGGTTGACTTGAGAATGTTAGGTGAACAAAATATTAGGCACAATTGGTGGAAAAACAAACCACATTGATCAGCCATTTACTGGGTTAGGCAATATTTAAGTCTAGTGGGCATCATAAGGTCACTCACCAACAATTTCATTTTTTGGGTCAATGTCTTCACGTTTACTTGACAAATATCACATTCCTCACGCACCATCAAGCTCTCTCTTTTGGGGTCAACAATGTCAGTTGAGTTAGAAGCGCAGGGTCATGCTCCAAATTCCAGAACAAGACTTAAAAACTGGAACAAAATTATATTCATGCATAATATTAAGGGTTAGAGTAATTTTTTTATTATTATTAAAATGAGAATTATAATTTTGGTCTACATTTTGGACTTTCCTTTTTCACAAATTTAGATCTCATTTTAATAATTAAGTATAAAAAAGTATTCGAAAAACTAATTTGTTGAATATAAGAGAAGCTAGAAGTGAAAAAAAGTTGGTGCAAATCTAGGTTTATGACAAGCCCATAGGCTTGTTTGAAAACCCAATAGTTTTTCTTTTTTTTTTTTCAGAAAAATAAAATTATTTGGAGCATCGAGACTCAGTGAAAAAAAAAAAAACTATTTGTGATATTAAACTAACTAAACCAAAAAGGTAGCTTTGTCTTATTCCATTTATGAGACAGAAATTAAACATTTTATTTGAGAGATAAGTGCCTTTAAAAATTTATGGATTTCGGAATCATAAGAAAAGTTGGTGATTTTTTTAAAAAACATGTCATTAATTTGGGATTTATATTTACGAGCTTCTTTTATAACAATTTATGAAAAGAATATTAAAAAGAAATAATAAAATGAGTTTTATAATAAAATAAAATTAGTTTAGTACAAATTAAAAAAAATTAGAAAAATTATATAGTACTATTTTCAATTTTTTTTTCTAAAAGTCTTAAAGTGAAACTTATCGAAATATATCCTTAAAAAAATGAGCTCTAGTTGAAGTATCATGATTAACATTTTTAAAACTTTTTGTTAATAATGTTTGATATTCCTTAGTTAATAATTATTAACGATGTTTCAACTAAGTATTAAAGTAACGTAGATGGGATTAATATACTTTAACTAAAAGAAGAAAATTAAAAAGAGAAGAAGAGACTAATTTTCCTTCTCCTTCCTGAGAAAAAAAATCTCTTCCTCTCTATCGCTCATTTTCACCTTCTCTCCTGCAGATCATGACCTTCTTCTTCCCGATCAAGAATCTGAGGTCGTCATTGTACTCATGGCGGAGAACAACAGAAGATCCACCGATTAGAATTTCGTTTCGATAAATATAAAATTTAGGGTTTTGCGAGTTAAAATTTGGGCTTTTGAGAATTTAAGGAATTATTTGTGGTATTAAAAGGTTTCCTCTTACTCCATTACTCCCCAATTTCATGTGTCTCGAGGTTAATTTTGTTTCTCGCTTTAATATCGTTTTTAGGGTTTTCCAAATTGGGGGAGAATGGTACTTCTTAGGTGTTTTGGCGTTTCTAAGACTTTGTAGGAGTTAGGTTAACGTGTAGCATCACCCACAGGTATGGTGATGTGAAGATGACCTATGATAAGGGCTAGAGTAATGGAAGTAAATGAAGCTCTTCAACAAGTATTGTTGGTTGAACAAATTGTGTTTTGGATTAATCAAATAATGGGCTTTAGTTTAGTTTTATTACAAGTTGTAATAAGGGCCCAATTGGAAATTTAGTTATAAGTTTTTGGGAGACCAAGAGGGCGCATTGCTGATTGACTTTTAGATGCCACAATTTCAGTTACAATCAATCATTAAGTAGTTTTCAATTCTTAGGGTAATAAATCATTATTAGCATTTATTTTCCTTTAATGAATATTTGTAACTCTGATGGAAAAACTTCTTTATAAGCTGAACCATTTTTATCAGAAATAACAAGTTGAGTTTATTTTTAGAAATATTAGAGTTTATCTCTTTTATCTTAGTGAGAGTGATTCTCCTAAATTCTTGAGTGATTCAAGAACCCTTGGTTGTATCAAAGGACTTTCACATCCTTTGTGTGTTGCCTCCCTTGGAAAGTGTGATTCTTTCCTTCCACCTTCTTTCTAATTCCTAAATTTCTTACAAGGTCCTAACCCTAAAGATCCTAAATCACCCCTTGTGATTCATATCATATGGGAAGTTTCTTTGATTTTTACTTGTGTTGAAACTTTAGGTTTTGTTAATCCTTGCATTAATGGTGAGTGAAGATTTTAGAATTTGAAGTGAATCATGAACTTTAGTTATTTTAGATATAAATTAAGAGTTGGTGCTCTCTTGAAAAGCTAGTTAGATGGTGCTTAAAACTAATTTAGAAGAGTATATGGTTAAGTGAGTATAATAGCTGATTTTCCTTACTGGTTGTATTGTATTGATAAAAAAAATTAAATTATTAAGTGAACAATGAGTATGCTTATGATATATATATATATATATATATATATATATATATATATATATATATATATATATATAGTGTTGTATGTGATATGATATTGTGAGCATTTGTGGAAAACCTTGCTGTATAAACTGTTTT